ATGGCAAGCTACATTGTAGCCACAGCTCTATCTATCCATAGATATACAATCTTTAACCAGAATGATTGGATTTCATCCAGGTAAATGATTAAAAGCAACAACTTTAATGGTAGGTACTCCAGCCATGATTACAGCACTTGAATTTAACAACAATTATAAGATGAAGCAATGTAGCAGATAATAAAATCTGTCAACTTATTGAATACAATTGAAAACATCACCTTTCTTTCATTTTTTCCAGCAGCTTTGCGTAATGTTCAATATCAGCCTCCAGGTCCGTGCTGTTGTTGAGTCTTTCCTCATATCCTTTTAGGTTGTTCATCAGTTTCGCCATATTCTCTTTCATTCTCCCGAACTCTGACTCTATATTCTGCATCTGTTTTATCATGCCAGGTTCAAAGGTTAATGTTTTTATTTATATAAAAAACAGTTCAATTCAGGCTCTTGGGTAGCAGAATTTATCTTTACCACAGCAGTTAATAATGATAACATATCTCCAACCTTTGACTGGTGTTTTTCAAGACTGATCCTCTTAACACGCTCCCTGATCTTTTCCAGTGTTTCCATCAGGTCTGAATTGTTATTATCGGTCTCAGTCTGGTTCTGACTCTGCAGCTCATTGATCTTCTACAGGAGAAGAGGAGACAGGTGAAGATAAACAGAGGCTTAGAGTTAGGATTTATCTATATGAGCTGTTGTCTGTACACATCACATTAATTGATTAACCTCTGTTAACATTGTTAACAGCTGGTAACAACTAAATGCATCAGAACCATTACTGAAACCATACTTAGAACAAATTTTAATCACTGTGTCAGGCTCTTTAAAATGATATTTCTAAGTGCGCTAAATTACAAAAATACATAAATTTGCCATCTTAATATCCAGCCTTAGAGTAGAATAAACCCTCTCATGGTTCTCTTTGTCAGCTCTTGATGAAGGCTAGAACAAATCTACCTACAATTCATAGATGTGATGGGTTTAATACACTTAATAATAGCTAATGTTCTGTTCTGTCCTAGCTAGTAAGCCATGGGAGTGAACCAGCACAGTGCTGTAACTGAGAACTTCAGTCTTTTATCTGTGAAGAGATTGTATAAAAACACACATCATCCTGAATATAGCATAAAAAATAAGAAGAAAAGGAGGAGTGAACCTCTTCATAGATCTCCTTCAAGAACTGAATCTCCTGCTCCAGCAGTCCAGTGCGTTTCTTCTGAAACTCACAGTCCAGCTCAGCTTTAACCTTCTCCTGCAAAATTAAAAGCATTTATTTTAATGAAATGTCATTACATCATGCAGTCTAACCTTATAATAGTTTAAAAAAAGCATACATATTTTAAACAACTCTCCATTTTGCTACTCCAATTCCTGTAAAACTGTGGTGTCAAGAATATGACCCAGGGACCAAATTACAGGCCAAACAAATGAAGTCCATAGGATGGCTTTTAAAATTGTGGCATTAAATTACAAACAAAGAGGGTATGAATTTTGAGCTTTGTCCTGTTTTTTGGCTGTTTACAGTCTTTTTGCTGACAAAGACGTCACCCATAGTTTGCTATACAACACCAAAGTAATTAAAGGATTAAACAGAACCAAAGATCAGCTTTATATTATTTATCAATTTTTTTTCTTTTTCAGTTTTAGTATTCCATCAAACAACAGAAAACTATAGATGAACCAATTAATATTTAAAAAATGTTTGAGTGGCTCCATCCCTGCTAATAACAGTAAAAAGATAAATTACAAAGTAAAGTACAAATTACCTTTATAATCCTATCTAACTGGTCTTCTGCAATTTCTCTTCTTTTTTTCTCAGCTTCCAACCTGGACGCCAGTAAGATACACAGATGAGTTTTAGACAGAAAACCTTTGATGAGCAACTGGTTTCATTCAAGCCAGTGTACTCTTAGTGCTGGTTCTGGATAAATGGGAAGGGTTGCATAAGGAAGGGCACTGGCACAAAATATTTGTGAAATCAAACAGCAAGAATGTGATTTTTGTATTGAACTGGTGATCTGGCCTCCAGTGTGCCAACAGAGTGCCAGTGGAAACTATTCTGCTCTTGGCCAAAGACAAAAGAAGAGGAGAGGTGGAAGGCATGTTAGGAGAGAGAGATATATCACGAGACAGAACTCAGGAAATAATTTGCGGTTTTAGTTATTTAAGTCAAAAACAGTTCTACATTTACTATTTTACATGCGAGTGTTAAGTAAGAATACGGTAGGCCTATACTAGTTAATCTCCAGCAAGATGTTGACTGTTTATGGATCCAAAACAGGTTTTGAATTTATCAGTGAAAAAATAACAGTATACATAATAATAATCACAGTATCAATATAAAGACTCACAAATGCCCCCTTTTGCCCCTTCCCACCTCAATGTTAAGGTTTTCTGCTCCCTGATTATTTCCTCGTTGTCTTCTTCATGCGCCATGCTCAACAGCTCCTTCATCTTCTCCTCAACTATGTCATGGATGGATTCATTGTGCTCCTGATAATTCACCTGATTATTGACCTTCTTGATGTAGGTGGCAAAGAGGCTATTCAGTAACTGCAGCTCTTTCTTCTCCATCGCCATGTTTGCAGAAGAGCACTCAGTGACTTTGTGGGAAGCAAAGCCTGGGCAGTAAGAGGATGCAGTTTGTGCTGAAGAACTCTAGGAGGAAATGCTGGAGCTCACAGAAAGCCTGGTGAGAGCTGCAACTGAAGCAGAACCTGCTTGTCCATCTATTTGTAGGTACCTCCCCCTTCGCTTTTTACCCCCTCCTCCCTGAGAAATGTCCTTCCTGATCCTCCCTCTCTCTTTCTTCCTCCTTTAGCTTATCATTTTAAATTCTTTAACATTTTTTCTTTGTGTCATCTTTTTACATCACCTTTCAATTCTCTCTTCCTCTTCTAGTATTTTCTTCAACTTCCCTTTTCACCCTATTTCTACCCCTTCCTTTTTCTCCTTCTGTTACACTCCCCCATTCTCCAGTTATTGTGCTCTTTTTCTTAACTACCTAAGAGGGTTAATTTTCTTGCAACTACTATTTTTTGGATTATAGTCGGATACTGGAGGAAAACAAGACAAATTGTGGACCAAATAAGGCAAAACAACAATAAGCGTGTTCACAAGAAGTGCACAGAGACACTAATCACACAGGTACACCATTAGTTGTAACTAACAACAAGCATTGTAGCCTCTCGTGGTATGTGCTTCAAAATATAAGTCCATCAATGCAAACATTTATTGTCAATTGATAAAAACACAAAAAGTATATTTTTGGTGATTTTGGGTAGTTGGTTCCACATTGAAAATAAAATAAAAGTGAACTGCATGTATAAAATGTATGCTAAAGGGAGGGAAGGAAGGGTATGCAAGAGTCAGTAAGCAGTGACTTGGGAGTGGGACCAAGTTGGCAAATCTCCTAGGAGTTAAGGATCTGGAAGCAAAGCTGAACAATGGCTTAGAGTAAACCTTCACACTGAGGTTTCACTACCTCACTACCAGTGATGGATGACTTGCCCTCTCGTTTCCACATTCTCCTTCGTCTACAGGAACCATACCAGAGGGATTGACGAGCTCTTTGAAATATTCCTTATAGTTGTATCCTCAGTTGAAGTCATCCCCACGCTTCCAGGTTAACAACAGTCTTGTTCCATGGCCTCACTGAACTCCTCCCACACCTTGGGCCTATCTCAGCTACCATAGGGCAAGAGGCGAGATAAACCCTGGACAGGTCATCAGTCTGTCACAGGGCTATCACAGAGTGACAGACAACAATTCACAATCACACATACCACCCAAAGTTTGGACCCACAAAACAGATGATGAGAATATCCAAACTCCACTATGTGCAATATGCATCTTTTCTGGCTATAATCCACCACCTCAGGGATAATGATGCTTTCCCAAGTCAGGGCAGGAATGTAATCTGTCCAGTGTGCCCCTGGTCTGGCAGTTTGACTTGCTCAAACCACCTCAGTTGGATCCTTGCAATGTGGAGGAATAGACTATGAATATACTAACTTTTTCTCTTGATGAAATCATCATTGAAAAAAAAAACTGCATTTTGTATTTACTTGAGTTATCTTTGTCTATTTTTTAATGATCTGAAACATGTACATGTGACAAATATGTAAAAAACAAACGTGGGTTAGAATGTAGATCAACCAATAAATAGGCAGCCTGACTTTTAGGCCTGTTGTGCCTGTACAGCATCCTCCCACATATCCTGAACCAAATCACTTCTAGTTGGTGACCAGCTGACAGCTCAGCTTCTCTCTTTACCTGATAGTCTTGTCCACGGTCTGATTTATTTGAGTTCAGGGCCATGCAGAGATGTTTGAAGGGGCGGGTGCTCAAAGTTAAAAAGGGACACACAGAACCAGGCAGAATAACAACTCCCCACATTCATCAAGAAGCTAATATGGAATCACATCATACTATCACGTCCACAGGACAGATGGTATCTGATTAAATAAGTGTTATGAGATAATAAAATGCGAAGATCGGTGACAGCACTCACATGACCCTCTTGGGGACACTCCCATAGGGCTTAAAATCTGGGACTCTGCACCAGTTGCTCTTAGAACTGAAGAATCTTCTCGGATAAGAGGTGAAACGCCTTCAAGAAACCTAAAGAAGTCCTGAAGCTTTTCTTTCCAAGCTCCTTAGATTGTTGCACAGGAAGGACTCCACATGCACACACAATTTTTTTTTAAATTGCCTCATCAAAAAGGGCACTAAGGACACCCATCAGGAAAGGGGCAGGTGCTCAAGGCCCCTCCACCCCTCCACCCCACCACACCCCTGCACTTGCTTGTTTGAGTTCCTAACATGGATGAGTCTGCATCACACCCAGTGACAGTGAGGACCTGTTGTCCCAAAGACACAGGGAAGTAATTAACTCATCCTTCAGGTAAAACACCCGAACATACCGACAAGGCAACAGTAGTTCAGCAATTTGAAAATGAAAATGAGGAGTGTTCCCTTTTTGCTTTTCTTTGGTAGTTGAACAGCCACTCAGTTCAGAGATTTCCGACAACTGGAAAAACTAGTAAGTGCACATAGCATAGTTTCTGTCAACAGTTCTTATTCATGTGAGTGAAGTTGGCCCCCCACCTTCTTCAAATCCAACAAAAGTGGTATCAAACGTTTGTGCTACGTTGTGCTGCTAAAATTTTCATTTGTGCCGCTATCATTTTAAAAATATTAATAAAAATTTCTAGAGGTCATCAGAGGTCAACCAGCCCCCCCACATTAATGGAATCAAACAAAATTGATGTCAAATATTTGTGCTACGTTTGTGCTGGTTTGTGCTGCAAACATTTTTGTTTGTGCTGCTATCATTTTACTAATATTAATACAATAACGTCTTGATGCGTGCTTAATCATCCAGGCAAGTAAATCCCAAAAGGTTGATTCTGTTCATCTGGACATTTTCAGTGGGAGAAACGTTTCGTCACTCATCCAAGTGACTTCTTCAGTCTCAGCTGACTGCATTTTTCCCAACCTTATAAACAGTACATTTGCATAGTGAAGGAAACTAGCACCACTGAATGAACAATGTGCTGGGGGGTTAGTTCCATGATTGTTAGTATGCAAATTCTTATGACCATTGATCAATGACAACTAAT